CCTTACCTTATGAGTGAATTGATACAACCAAAGCTGACGCTAATGGTCCATAACCTGGCTGCTTCCACTACTTTGCGACTCTTTTCAATATCTCCCGTCTCGAAACTCAAAACAGCGCCAGGCCCCCGAGCCAGGCGACGATGTAGTTCATAATGTGGGTGACTTTTGAGTCCAGGATATCGTACTTTGAGCCCTTTGCTTTCCAAATATTCTGCGATGCGAATAGCATTTGCTTGCTGCCGATCCATCCGCAAAGCGAGGGTCTTGACTCCACGCATGAGGAGGAAGCAATCGAAAGGTGCGAGACCACAACCTGTGGCGTTGATCATGAAATAAACTTTCTGCAAATGTCAAAAGTCGTTACATTTCATGGAAATAAAAATTGGCATCAAACTTTTTCTCTTACCGCCGCCAAGGTTTCTTCCTTGACTCCGATGACTCCCGCCATCAGATCGTGATGTCCGCTCAAGTACTTTGTCCCAGAGTGATAGACAATATCTGCACCCTGTAGCAGCGGTTTCTGGAGATACGGGCTCATCATGGTGTTATCCACGACTACAATGGCATCAGGACACTGTTCATGTACAGTGTTACTGATGCTTGTCACATCCGCAATCTTGATGAGAGGGTTGGTTGGAGTTTCAAGGATGACAAGGCGAGTCTTTGGTGAGAGGCGTGGTTTGATGGCTGCCAGGGATGTGGTGTCGACGTGGTGGACCGTAATGTTGTTGTGCGTGCGGAGGAATGTCAAGAGACGATTTGTTCCTAAACACGCAAGTTCAATTATATGGAACAAACTCGAGAGTAGAGTCCATGATATTGATACTCACCTCCGTAAAGATCGTCCCCAGCGATGATCTCCTCGCCCGAATTTACCAGCCGGCATATCACATCCAGTGCGCTCATTCCGCTCGACACGGCAAAGGCGCGTTTGGCTGACATGAGCTTTGCAAGATGAGCCTCTATACAGGGAGAAAAACAATGGTGAGGAAAATTTCAAAAGTACACACTGCTCATTGAAAGAACAGAGTGCCCATCTTATATTTCGTGACATACCGAGATGTGTCCGTGTTGGATTCCCACTTCTCGTGTAGTCATACTCTCCCATTTCACTCGCGGCTGACTGTTTGAAGGTTGCTGTTTGATAAATGGGCACCGAGCTCGCATTGTAGACATCCCGTATGCCGCTCTCGGGTTCGACAAATACACATTCCGTGGCTGCTCGGTACTTGGAAACAGGTGGAGTTATCAGACTATCGCAGAGGGAAGAGGAGCTGGGCTGCGGGGTAGGGTATTCTCCTTCAAAGAATGGCGTCTTTGTTACGCCGTTTGCCAGTTCCGGGATGTCCTCTGTCGGCGGCGGGAGGGTATGTTGCTGGTTGTGAGTGTGCATCCTGCTGCAGGCTGTGTGGATCAGTGCAAAGGGTAGTGTTCAAGCAAAGAAATTCGAGAGAATCCGAGCAAGAAATTCCTGCAGATCTGTTAAAAAAAACGCTAGTAGGAAATGGGGGAAAACCCAAAAGGACACCCCACCAAATACTTTCATCGACCCCACAATTTGGTGGAAAAGCGCAGACTTACTAAGCCATCTTATCAGTGATCAAAAAAATTCCCACGCAAATGGTGCAAATCGATTGCTAAAATGATGCCATTTTGAGTTGAAGGAAGGGAAACGATGCCATCGCCATCTGCAGTAGAACATGTACGCAAACGCACGGCAAAGAGACCCACAAAGCACTCCAAGACAAGGCTCATCAATGAGGCTGTCGCCGCAGGAAACTTGGAGGCACTGCGAACACTGGCTGCATCCAAGGGCGGATTCGTCAATCACAGTATCCGCAGAAAAGTATGGCCTCTGCTCCTTCATAGCGCCAACAAACAGCGTGAAATGTTCTCAGAAGGCGCAGGTAGAGCATGCGTGTACCAGCGTTCGTCCAAATTTCCCTTGATATAAAGGCGCGTCATGTATTTCAGATGAGCAGCGAGATGCCAGCCAAATTGCATTGGACGTGAACAGATCTCTTGCCCACTTGTTGCAGCCTGATACCGGGGAAACCCGCTTAGAGACGCTGCGAAAGGAACTTTCTAATCTGCTCCTTACTGTATTGAGCCGGCATTCTTATTTACATTACTACCAAGGTGCGTCCGGGGCAAGTTGCAGGGTGACCGCTTGGAACCTGTTCCTCAACAGGCTTAATCACAGGCTTTCACGATGTTGCCAGTGTCCTCCTCCTTGTACTGAAACCGACATTAGCCTCAGCTTGTTTGGAACCACTAGCGCTTTTCTATTTGCGTGACTTTATGGCGCCGTCCCTCCAGTCCTCCATGAATCAGATCAGTCTTCTCTTCCCTCTCATTGCCCTCGTGTCCCCAGCTACTCACGAATGTCTGTCGAGCATCGAAGGCTTTCTTCCCTACTTTTGTCTCTCGTGGGTCATCACATGGTACAGCCACGATATCGACGATCTATCCCGGATTGCTCGCCTGTTTGACTTTCTAATTGCCTCCAACCCCCTCATGCCGGTATACCTGGCTGCTGCGGTCGTACTGTCTCAAAATGAGCAGCTTGTGGAGCTAGAAGCCGAGTACAGCACTGTGCATCACTTTCTTTCAAAATTCCCGTCAGATGCAAACTTGGAGATGCTCATTAAACAAGCATACAATATGTACAAGCTGCACCCACCAGAGGCGGTGCAGAAATCCGCGAAATTGCCGCTTGGAAGAGCGTCGGTAGTCAACAGGTTCAAAGTCGACTTTGAGCGACTACCATTAACACAAGAATACGATGACCAGCTGCCCCAAAAACTGTTGAATCAACATGTCCGCGAAGTTGAAAAGCCAGGGGGTCATTATCATCCGGACCGGTGGGTACTGGCAAATGCCAGACACTTGGCATGGATCAGTGCATTCGCGGCCACGTCTGTAATAGCTTGGTATGCATACCAAACAGGTTATACGTAGAATACCCTTTGCGAATACATCTGCTTCCTGTATATTATGTACATAACTTGAAAATACAGATTGGGAACTTAATTCTAAAAATCATCACCATCCGATAAAACATCGCCATCTCTGTCCTGAAATTCAGGTGCCTTCTCTTGAATTGTAAACAGAGGCGTTCTCCCGTGCGATATCTGTCCAAAGAAAAAAGCATCAATATCGGGGGCCATACCACTATGAATCGAGAAGATAACCCACATTTACCGCTTGTTCACAAAAGCTTTTCAAATCTTGTTTACTTGAGCAGTAGAAGCCAAGGACAAGGGACGGGTCTACGGCTTCCATAGACATGGTTCTTACTGTCTCGCAATGATATGTCGAGAGGTCCTGTATCATAGGACATTCAAGACGTGAACAAAAAACTAGAGATGTTTCGCAAGAAACACATATCGCTTTACCTCTGGCGCATATGATGCAGGATGCTTCACTTCCACCGCTTTCGTAGAGACGAAACATTCCACATACTTAGATTCAAGCATGCGACGTTTGTATTCATCCTAAGACCCTACCTGGCCGGAGAAAATGTGGATCTAAATACACCAGATGGTTGCCTGGTGGAACAGATCCTGGTGAATACGACCATCCTTGAAAGAGGAGAAACTATCACTTTGGAACATACCTTCCACTCCGATGAAAAACAGGGACGAATTCGGCCGTCCTCTGTGGGCGTGCAACATTTTAGGACAAACCGCCAAACACATCCCAGATGACCACCGCCTCCCCCTCGCTTACCCTGCTATTCCCACACACTGCGGCAAACTAAAACACGCCTGAGTCCACAACAAATTAGCAAGTGCCACCGGGAGAATGATCGTATCGCAACGAACCTTTAAGGCATCAAAATACACTGGATTCAACCCTTCCACACCCAACCTGATCGGGACCAATATCAAGGTTCCTCTCCATCCTTCATGACCTTTTGTGCACTCATTATTGATATCATCCAAATACATGACGCCATCGGTTGCTACATAGATTCCCATATCGATGTCCTTATGGTCGTCCAATAAGACCCTGAGGGGAACACATGGCGTGTTGGTATTTATAAAGATTCCCTAAAATATGATTGCAGTGATTTCACTTATTACTTACTTTAGAACATGAGATATTGTAGAGGGACCAAACCATTCGCCAATATTCTTATCAAATTGTTTTCCGAGCAGCGCTATTCGATGTATCGAAAAGGGCGCAGAAGGCGTATCGAGAAATCGATTTAGTATCTGCAAAATGTTTCGATTAAGTTGGCATATTACAGAATATGAAGGAGATTCTCCAAAAGGCTCACCGTCACATATTTGTCCCACGCACCCTTGTCATCTTGACATCGCGTTAGTCTCCAATCTAAGAACAACGAATGAGGTAATGCCGCATATCTCATATCGCCGATAGAGATGCAAACCTCTGCCCAGTTCATGGAAGAGGAAAGCATTGGCCAGCATCATCTGACCACTTCGCAACATGCATCCCCAACCGACATCGCTTGTATATGTACTCGGTTTTATCGGCGGATAACCATTCCGATATGTAATCCACACTCGACTTTTAAAGTCGTCTTGAAACCCTTGGTCGGCACACGAAGGATACTCAATTCCCAACAGTCGCACAGGTCCGGAATCCCTATTTCGCCCGTTCCCCAGCCCAAGGTCAATACCGGTGCGGGCCGTCAGGCGGGTGAGGAGGGTATTGTCGTCGTGGGCCGCCAGTATGATGTTGTTGGCTCCAGCGGTAGTTGAATGGGTGCGAAACCGGCCAGACGCCGTGTGGAAGAAATGAGATATTCCTTCGGTGACCTTTTCCCACAATGTATGCTCCTGCTCTTCAGAAATTGATTGCTTTAGATGCTGTGACGCTTCTGTAGTCGGCAACGTTTCAGCTTTGACAGGTTCCATGCCCGCCAACTCCCAGGAAGTCTACCTTCCTGCAAACCGCTGACACACGCAAGTGCTGTTGTCATCAATGTCAGCTGACTGACACGTTCGCTACACGGCACGTGACTCATGTCCGGATGGCCTATATAAATTGGTTCGGACGCGCATCCTGCGTTTTCCCCTCGCTCCTTCCCATCTCACCTTTTCATCGAGCTACTTTTATCTATCCTTCTTCTCTTTCCCTATTTCTACCTTGTTCTTTTCCAACTTTCACCTTTAGCATTCCTTCCTTTTCCTTTGTTTCCTACCGTGCTTTGTCACTATGGACTTTGGTACCCCAACTCGCACACTACGCAGCCGTCCCCCCGTGGACTACTCCAACTCTGGAGCAGGCTCTCGCCGCTCTTCCGTGGCTCCTAGCGTCGCTTCTAGCGTTGCCCCCAGTGAAGCTAGCTTTAGCGACGAACCCACCCCGATCTTCAGCTCCTCTTCGAGCGATGTTCCCACCCCCAAGACCACTGTCAAGATTAAACCTCGCGACCCGGCCAGTAAGGCGAACGGCAAACCTCTCAAACTGTATCACATGAACAGATACGTTGGTAAGTTTGGAGTAGCTCTCTCTTAATGGGGTAGCTGCTGACGATGGCTTCTAGGTTTTAAAATTTCTAATTATACATTCCTTTTTGCTGACGAAGATGGCCGCCATCCAATCGAAGACTACTTCAAAGCTCTCTGGGGTTACATCTCGGCGCCCTTTAGGGCATTGGCTGATAACTGGATGACTATCGGCAGGATGCTGCAGGTGACTCTCCTCCTTGTAGCATTTGGCGCGTTCTTTTATTTCAGCCGCGATGGGGCACTTGAAAGCCGACGCCCCGGACATCAACACGAGGTATCCGATGCCGATGTGGGAGCAATACATGCTCAGTTTCAGGAAATGAGAAAGGAGGTTGCACACCATAAGGAAGAGTACCGGTCGCTGCTGAATGTGCGCTTAGCCGAATATGAAGAGAATGTTAAACAGTACAACAAACTGTACGTTGATGATGTTATGAAGGAGTTGAAGACTCGGGAACAAAGTGACAAGGTCCATCAAAAGCACCTTGATGATACCGCTTTGATCAAGCAACAAATCGAAGAGCTTCAAAAGCAAATGATCGACTACAGCACCGCCACGCAACAGTACGACGCACTAGAGCAACAAATCGCAGAGCTTCAACAGAAAATGATCGACTACAACACCGCCACGCAACAGTACGACGCACTAGAGCAACAAATCGAAGACCTTCAGCTGCAAACGACCCAGGGCAGCACCGCCACGCAAAAGTGTGAGGCACTGGAGCAACAAATCACCGTATTAACTGCGGGGTTTGCTACTTTAGTCAGTAAGACTGATGACCTCGAAGGAAGAACCATCAAACCAGACACAGTCGGCATGGCCGACTATGCCTTAGAGAGTGCTGGTGGCCGAATCATCTTGGGGCTTACATCCCCCACTTATGCGCCTCCAACCATAATAGGTTGGATGGATTATTTGTTGGGGACTCCAAAGGCGCGAGGACAGCGCCCAAACACCTCTATTCAACCCGACGTGTTACCTGGCAATTGCTGGCCAATGCAAGGTATGGTTTCAGACTGCTCGCATTATTTGTCGAATGCCTTACTGACTATGTCTTTTCCAACTAGGTAACCATGGCCGGCTCGCTATTGCCCTCTCGACCCCAACCGTCCCCACTCATATCACTATTGAGCATGCGCACAAGGAACTTTGGGGTGGCCACACTGGCCTCGCTTCTGCCCCCAAAGATTTTGAAGCGTGGGCTGTTTATGATCACGAAGCGTTTGCCAAGATGGACTTGGACTCGGAAGAAGCCCGTAGGGCTTCAGTTAGCTGGGAGACACAACCCCAAGCCCTTTTGATGGCGTCGGGTACCTTCAAACCTATGGAGAAGAATCTTGAAACCTTTGAGATTAGTCCCGTTGCTTACAGGAACCTTGAAAACATGGCACTCATGCATGAACAGCAAGTTCACACTGTCGTCTTCCGCTTCAGGAGTAACTGGGGTAATGAGGACTGGACTTGCATCTACAGGGTGCGTGTCCACAGCATTTAAATTATGAACTATTTGTGTGTTTTGGCGTGAATTGTGTAAATGAACTTGCAGGATACCCATTATTTGTATAATAAATGTAAATGTTTTAAATGACTTTGGTGCAGTTTTTTAAATGTATCAAATGATGCTCTTGTCATCCATCTTTGAAATAATACTGGGACAGATGAATATCTTCAAGATCGCATGTCCACATGTTATAAAAGATGCTTAAAGTCACTACCAAAACAGCAGTTTCTAGATACATGATACAAATGCGCATGTCTACTTGGCCATTGCACAACACTCTATGCAAAGAAGGGGGATATGGACCGACGTCTGCTTCCAGTATTCCCCTTTGACGAGTTTCGTCCACGCTCATCGACGCATCTCGCGACAATGACTGGAATGGTTGCGTGTTCTACGCAGTAGTGGCTGACACTACCAACTAAGAACCTGATGAAATACAAGAGTGTCAGATGGTTGTTTTTCATGATACGGGTAGATGGTGCGTTTATCTACTCACCCTTGCACGTGGCTCTTGCCGGCAGAGCCCAAAACCAACATTGCAGGCTTCACCTCCAATTCCTCCACCAACTTGCAAATCAACTCTCCTGCCTTGTTTGGTGCACCGACGAGCACACGAACACCCATGGTGCAGTTGACATTGTTGCTCTGCCATACACTTCTCAGCAATGTTTTGACACGGGATGTGACAGCCGTGACGTCTTCCTTGTCCACAACTACGGCCACCGTAAGCTTATCGCCGTCACGGAGAACGTAGTCAAAGACCCAGTTGAGGGCTGCGACAGAGTGCTCAGACTCGTCGAGCGCGAACAAGATGTTTTTGGCACCAGGGGCAGGACCGTGGGGTTGTTGGCCGGGGACAGCGAGAGAAGCGGTTGCGTCTGCCATGTCTTTTAAAGTAACTGTAGTTGAAATGTCTTGCTTTGCGGGGTTGTTTTTGGGGCTTGCTTGTTCGAGTGCTGCTATTTTATACTACTGGAAGGAAATTAAAAAAACGCCAATTCATGACTCATTATGATAAGTGTTCCAAAACTTTAATTTCGTCTTTATTTGATAGCATCTGACACAGAAACACTGCCCCAAATCCTACTTTAAGGATGCAAAAGAAAAAGGGAAAAAGGGATTGGAAAGCACTAGTCATTCCTATGCAGATTGACAAAGATTAGTTGCTAGAAAAGTAGGCTAGGCACAGATGGTAGAAAAGAGCGAGAATCCAGGATCAAGCCCGCATAGGACAGTGGCCAAACGACTCTGCGATGGAGACGCTGTCCAGTTTTGGAAAATTGCTTTTTAGACTGGCAGATGCTGGAGGTAGAGCGCCGTTGAACTGTAGACTCTAGTAGGTGGGTCACAAACTCGTTATGGGCATCTGCGCCACGATTTTAGACAGGCACTGGGCAGGCGCTGGTTATGTATAGATCAGCGTGCATTTGAGAAAAGATTGCTGGGTTAACAGTTCTCTTGTTAAGCAAGGAGTGCCAAAGGCGGCCGACATACTTTTGTGAACTCATTGCACATTCTACTGTAGACAATGTTGAGATCGATATAAAGTAGACCATCACGCCAGGCGAAACAGAACTGGCACAAATCTTTGCCCCACGTTATTAGTTTGGCATATCATTTGTGATGTTGAGACTCCATTCCAACTCTGCAGTAACGTTTGCACATTTTGTGCCGTCATCATCAACAGCGTACTCCTTGTGCTGTCGGAAACTATAACAAAGCGTATTGTTGCCGTTCGTATGTGCTAGAGCACCGTGAGTGATGCTCCTCCTGTGAGCGCCTTGTTCTATGACCAGGACTTGATCTCACAACTGCAACAGAAAGTAGATACACTGATGCGATGCATTGAACAAGCTCTTCAACCAACCAGTGATCGAAATCGCAATTTATCCATGAGCCTGTAAAAAGACCAGCGAATCGCTACTGTTGTGTTTGAGAGGATCTGGTGACTATGGTCCAGACAAGTTTATACACCTACATGGATCAGGCCAGGAAAGGAGCCGAGAAACTCACTATTCAAAGATCGTTTACAAACGATTCCTGAAATATGTCGACCGTCGACAGTTCCTATGGACATCCATTGACCGTTTGATGGTCGTTCTGCAAAGTAGGGTTAGGGTTAGGTTTAATTACAATTGATCTTTGTACCACATAATCGGCTCTGTTGCGGGCGTCCTCGCGGTCTGCGGCATTTAAAAGAGGATCCCACTTGGATCGCTGGACGAGAACAAGACATTTGTTGCCACCAACTACGACAGTTGTCTGGCAGATCAACAACCGTCTGCCGTTCTACCTGTTGTGTGATCGGCAGACCAACCTATCTTTCTGTTGACGTGCTCTTGTTCCACTTTAGGATTTTGACCCACACTGTTGTTTTGCGAATACAGCCGCAATTGCAGGGGTTCAGCCCAATATGTCGTTTCAAGGCTATGGGCAGGGAAGTCAAGGATTTCCTTCACAGCCGGGAGGCGGGTGGGGACAGCCTTCCCAACAGGGTTTGGGTGCCGGCATGTTCCCTGGACAACCAATGGGATACCAAGCGCCCAATTTCCAGGCAGCGGCAGGGTCAGGCATTGGAACGGAACTAGCTGCACAAGGTGGGAATTATTCCGTTTGACTGTGGAAAAATAAGGACTACTCGGGAGAACGTGTTTTTGAGGTGCTAAAGGTTGCCTACCAACAGTATCCCTACCATTTATCGAGCATTCTGATCTGGCCAACTATGAGAACCTATTCAAGCAAGCGAATCCGTCCTCGACAGGACATATTGCGGGTGAGCTTTCTTACAACGCTTCATATGGTGGCACGGCACTCATTCTCCCGCAATATCTCACAGCTCCCGCGGCCCGCAATATCCTGGTGCAATCCGGCCTTCCTAACGAGATTCTAGCTCGCATATGGTAAAGCCAGGTTTTCAACGACCATGGCGATAAGGTGCTGACCGCAATTCGTGCAGGTCTCTATCAGCGGTTTCCACAAGTACATCCCTGAATTTTGCGGAATTTTGTCTTGCAATGCACTTGGCAAAGCTGGGGAGGAATGGCACGATGCCCCCGCCTCAGCTACCTGATACTGTTCGACAGCAATTGATGGCATCTACCGCGAACCTAACACGCGCTGCCCAAGGTGCGGCTTCAGGTGGTGGAGGATTGAGCGCACCTCTTGGGAGCTATACGGGGAGCGCGGGAGTCACTACCAACTTGACAGGTGGTCATGGAAGTACGGGATACTTGACGCCCACTTCGACTGGGAACGCCTCTTTTTCCGGTGTCCCAAGGAATTCCACAACTGGAATGTCGCGTTCTTCCTCGTTCCAAGGCGTTCCAAGTGGAGTAACGGTGATGGATGGCTTTGCTGGTCCGCTGGTTGCGCAGGCGCCCATCCAGTCCCAGTCGTCACAGGGACAGAGACAAAAATGGGCTGTCGATCCTGCAGAAAAGGCACAATATGATGCCATATTCAAAGTCTGGGATCCGCAGAATTCTGGATTCATATCGGGAGACCGAGCACGAAACATTTTTACACAATCGGGGCTGCCTGACGGCGTTCTTGCGCATATATGGTATGTACAAAGGATACTTCCATGGCCGCGCCAACCCAAGCATGCACTGAACCATTCTTTTTTCGGCTAGGACACTTGCTGACATACAAAAGAACGGAAAATTAAACGCCGACGAATTTGCTGTTGCGATGCATCTTGTGTACCAAAAGCTAAACGGGCGTGATTTGCCGGCAACACTTCCTCCAGAATTGATTCCACCATCCACTCGCGATCTTGATTCGCTCACCAATCTGGCTAAAACGCAGATTATGAGCGATATCGTGAATAAGAAAACCAATCCTCTACAGCGAAGCCCTTTCGGATCATCATCAAACTTGTTCGGTATTGCGGATCCTCTGGGGTCTTTTGGATCCACATCTCCAAATCTCAGCGATCGTCGAAAATTGCAAGAACAAAGAGACCAAGAAGAAGCCAAGAGGAAGACCATTGTAGAGAAGTTGGAAACCAAGAAGCGAGAGTTGGCAGAACTCAGGCAGAAGACTGCTGATACGAATAAAAGTGCAACGCAAATTCAACTGGACATCGACCGGTTGCATCGCGACGCTAGAGAAGGGCATAGTGACGTCAAGTACACGACGACCACCAAGGAATCACTATTGGAGCAGTTACAGAGTCGATCGGGCTCGGGTAGCCGAGGGGGTGCTGAGACAATTGACCAAGCCATGAACATGGAGAAGGAGATCCGTAATTTACTGGATGACTGTAGAGCCTTTCATAACAAATATGCTGATCAAAAAATTCAAAAGCTTCGTGGTGCGAGCGGAGCGCAAAGTGGTAGTGGGACGTCGGTACCGGGTGGAATCTCGACTCTGCTGCCGAATACCGGATCTTCGGATCCCGTCCAAAGCAAGGCAGCCGCCCTGTTGGCAGCCAGAATGGCAGCCTTGGGTGTCAGCGGACCTTCACCCTCTCCTCTGTCTTCTTCCCCCTCTGAAAAGTCCTCTAGCAATTCAGGTGCTGTACAAGCCGAAATTGCCAAGGTAGAAGAAGAGAGAAGGAGGAGACTCAAGGAGCTCGACGATGCAAGCGATCGGGTACGTTCGATAATGGAACAGGTCCGCTCGTCAGCTCCTAGCAATGCGTCATCACTCAATATACCGCGCATCTGGAATCCACCGGTGGAAGAAAAGTTGAAATTCGAGCAGGGAGTCGGTTTAAAGAGCAAGACAGTGCGGAAGGTCATTGAAGACCTTGACAGACAGGGTGGCTATGCAACATCAACATCATCATGGGCATCGAGTAATACGCAACCTTTATCCGCACCGAGAGATTCGGATGCCCCTGCTCGGAAGCCCTCTCTTTCTAGCAGTGCTATTTCGACGTCCTTCCCCAGCGTACCATCCGTGCCACGTGCAGGCGTTCCAGACCGAAAAACTGACTCGACACCAACTAGCGCTCTCAAGTCTCCAGATCCTTGGACACCTGCTCCACCGGTCCCAGCGAGAGAACCCCCTGCGCTAAGCTTTCTTTCGAACCTGAGTTCCTCGTCAGCACCATTGAATGGTGGCAATCATTCACCGGTTGCAGGTCCTTCGCTGCCATCGCCCACCTCGGCAGCAGTCAATGATGTAGTGGCGCAGGCAGAAGCTGCCATCCGTGCTGCCAAAGAGCGACAGGCAAAACGACTAGCTGGTGCGGGAACACCAACAACTCCTGGTACACCTACAGGAGCAGGAAGTGGGAATCCATTTGGTGCAAGCAGTACTTCTGCTGGAACTATCCCCGCGACAACGACTGGCAGTGAATCTACCGCATTCAACGCGTTTTCAAACACGTCATTTGGCGCGCCAAAGCCGGCAGAGGAGGACGATGAAGTGAGCAAGGCTATGCAACGCTTGCGCGAACAGGAACAGCAGCTGCTTGGGGAGAATTTTCGTTTGGGGGCAGGTAACGTCGGTGCGTCCGTTCCTGCCCCTACCGTGAATAACCGTAGTCAGGAAAACCATCCGTCGACGGTTACACAAGGCGTACTTGCCGCTATGGAGAAAATCCGGCAACGAGAAAAGGAGGTCTTGGCTGAGCAACAGCGGATCATGCAAGAAGACCGGGAGCGAAAGGAGAAACTGCCGGCTCCTCGCAAGTCCATTAGTGGCACATCGGCTCAGATGCCGGATCGATCAGTATCATCTGGATCCGGGAGTAGTTTTCCTCGTTCTCCATTGGGTATATCAAAGGACGCTTTCCAATCGGCGCCCTCGAAAAAGGAGCAAGGAATTACTCCGCCTTCAAATGCAGGAAACGATCAAAGCGAGCCTAGGACGCTGAGCCCCCCCCTCGCACCAGCAATAAGTGTCCAAGAGCCCCCAGAACAGGACGGGTCCCTGCCTAAAGTCGGTGGTCCGCCTCCACCTCCACCACCTCCTCCACCGGGTGAAGTAAAGCCGGTTAAAAAGTATGTTCGGGGCACTGCGTCTCCAACAAGTTCTGGGGAGTCAACGCCCAAACGAAAGCCCACACTTGCAGACGTAGGTGCTCGTGTACCAGCCTTATTCGCAGCAGGTGCCGCTCCAGTTCAGAGTATTGGTAAAGTGTCGGATCGGATCAAGAATCTCCAAGGTGGAATGGCACACATCTTTGGTGCACCCGTCGCCATTGGTCAGCAAGAAGATACCCTCGAGCATAGTTCTCACCTGTCCCCTACCCAAGCAGAAGGGACTAGCAGTGGACTGGAAAGCGACTGGGAGGTGGTTAGCAAGGAAGATACAAAGAATCACGAACAACTGTCAAAGGATCCTACTTTGAACGTGGGCTTTACCACGAAGGGAGGGTTTCTTGATATCGGTGCGTCGGGAGCTTTAGGTCGCGCTGTGAGTATAGGGGATGTGTTTTCCGACAAGTTTGCCTCCAGCCCTCTTCACCCTGATCCAGGTATGCGCTTTTGGATCCGATTGACGCATTTGCACTCTTTAACCTGTACTTTGATGTTGACTTCTAGTCGTCATCAGCCCCATTACAATTACGCCAGCTGACGCTGGATCCATTTTGTACAAAGCACGAGCAGCCTATGCGTATGAAGGAGGAGCCGATGATCTTCGATTGGATGTTGGGGACGTGGTTCAGGTGGAACAAGAGCAAGGAGAGTGGCTCTACGGCCGTGTAGATGGGAGAGCCGGGTGGTTCCCAAAGACCTATGTAGATGTTATTGCTGAGGATAGTGTTGTGGATACAGGTAAATCTAGACGTTAAATGAAAAATGTCCTAAGTGGTGTTAAATTCTGGCACCTTTTTCCACAGCTCGTGCACCTACTCCTGCGCTCTTGTCCTCGCGTTTCATTTCACGTGGAACAGCTCTGTGGGATTATACGGCGTTACAATCTGATGAAGTGGATCTTGTTGCTGGTGAAACTGTTGGCATTTTGGAAAAGCCCGAACAAGAATGGTGGAAGGTGGAAAACAGTCGTGGAGAGGCTGGCCTTGTACCGTCCAACTACTTGCAAGAAGCTCCGGACGAGGATGGGATACAGCTGGACGATACCAGTACAGCGCCAGCAGGCGCTAGCGGTGGAACCGCAAGAAGTTCGGCAACAGAACTTTTCGGGAAACCAATCGAAAGTCGTGCATCGTCCGTCAATAGTTCATTTTACGAGTCCGCTAGCGATGCTGGTGCTGGACATGCAACCCCTCCTCTTCCTCCTAAAAATAAGGTCCATGTTATGCCCCGGTCGAGCTCGTTAAACATCCATTCGCTAGCCGCTTACGGTGAGGATGAGGGTAGCGAAGGCCGGCCTTCTATTGGGTTGTCCTCTCGAGAAAGCAACTTTGAGGATGAAGGGGACCGTCACGTCCTTAGAAGCGGGATACCAAAGAGTACTAGTTTTGCGGTGCAACCGTCACAGGTGGGTACAAAAGAATTAGAAGATGCAGATGATAATGGAAAACCAACACTTTTCAACAACATCGTCTAGGCATCTACAGCATGGGCCACTAAAGTAGACCCCTATCGCCTTCAAACCATTGCTCCAGATGAACGCAAACGTCAGGAAGCCATCTATGAACTGATCGCAACTGAACAGACGTATGTCAGAGACTTGGAATTGATTTACCAGGTTTGGGATGCTGAGTGGCTATCGAATCCGCCATGAGTTCTTACGTCTTGTCGTGGTCCTGTCAGACGTTCTATGGACCAATGTCTCAAATTCTACCCCACGGTGACTTGGAAGCTGTCTTTTCCAACATTGAGGATATCAAGATGGTCAACGCCGTGATTCTATCGGATCTCGAAGCGGTGCAACAGGAACACGACTTTGTGATCGAAGCCATTGGCGACGTATTCTGTAAGCATGTAAGTGGACCATTCTTTTTTTGTCGACATCCTATACCAGGAGGTTGATCCAATCTGGACTTTAGGCCGACTCTCTGTCAGTGTACCAGACCTATTGTGGAAACTTTGGCAATGCTCTCAAAGTCCTACAAAAGCAGAGATCTGAGAACCCCCGGGTGGCCGAGTATTTGAAGGTGAGGAGTGGCTGTCAGTAGGCTAGGCTGAGCATTGGATGCAGGGCTATCCTTTGTGCAACACACCGATATGCACTGCAAGCTGCGTCGTAAAGACACCGGCATCTTGATGGGAAAACTGTTTATTAGACCTTACTGACAAACATCTTCCTCTGTCGTTCCTCTTTTATATCGGATGCTGCCATTTCTTGCCAAACTACTGTCATACGTCACTTTTCCTCCGTGTTATGCATCCTTTATCACCCTGCCGTCCCCATCTGAATTCACGTACAAAAAGCGACAACAAACGTCAAATCCACTCTGTCGGTCGCTGGATTTGTCATCCTTCCTGCTCCAACCAATGCAACGAATAACACGATATTCCCTTTTGTTAAAGCAAATCTTGCATCATACGTCCAAGACGCATCCAGATCATGAAAGTGTTGTCCGAGCTTTAGCCATGAGTGAGAAGGCCGCCGAGATGGTGAATACGGCTGCGAGAGAGCGGGAAAGTCGAGAGAAATTGGAGGAGGTTATGAAGATTTTGGATTTAACCTGTGATGAGGTAAAGGCCTAATTGTCTCGGAAAGAAAAATACGAGAGGGACTCACTAGGTGTCCTCGATAGGAACACCGGCTCGATCTTTCTGCTCCAACACGTGTGTTGGGCCCTCGGATTTTTGTTCATGAGGGACCGTTGATGAAAAGCAAAAGCGGGCGGAAGCTGCATGCGTATCTGTTTAACGATGTATTGCTATTAGCGCAGCCAAAAGGGAAGCAGGACCGAAACGCCCGAGGGTATCAGTTTGCACTTTACAGAAAGGTATGTTGGGTCGACAGCAAACTTCAAATAAAAAACTTGCGCTGATGCGTCATTTAGCCGATGCCTCTCAACGAAATTGCCGTACGAGATTTGCCCAAGTTGGCAGGAAGGGACCACGGGGCTGTCGACGAGACCTGTTTCCAGGTCATTCATGGCCAAGATGCCGTCACCGTGCGAGCACCATCAGTGGCAGCAAAGAGAAAATGGGTGAACACGCTGGAAGAGCAGAGTCGGCATTACTACATGGCTGAGAAGCAGCAAGCAGAAGGTTCTTGGAAGGGAGGGAGATTCACCTATGGAACGCCCATTGGGACTTTACAAGTGATGGTCGCCGAAGCGAAAAATTTGGTTCGAGTTGATAGAGGTGAGATGCAAAAACTTTGGAGGATGCCTTTTTCTTTTCTTGCGTACCAATGCAATATCTTTTAGGGCACAAGCTTGACCTGTTTTGTCGGGTGCAGTTAAATCGTCAGCAAGTAAAAACCCGAACGGTTCACTCTGTTGCACCGCGATGGAATCAAGCCTTGGTCTTTTCAGTCCTCAGTTTGGATGAAACCCTGAAAATCTCTGTATATAACTACGACCGATATTCACAAGATGGTTGGTGACAAAGTGTTTACAATGTTAAAGTCGTGTTCTCTGCTAATGTGTTTGTTCTCTGTAAAGATTATCTTGGGCAGGCAGAACTTGCGCTAGATTTCCTTGAATACTATGGAGAGAAAGAGACGGAGCCCATTACACTGGGACTCCGAGACGTTGCCAGTGGATCTGTGGTCATTCGGCTAATGTACCGAAAGACATAGGATAGTTTTATAACCAAGTTTTGTATTTTTTGGGGAGAACGGAAATGAGCAACCGCAATGAGTTTTCAAAGCATGCAGCGAGAGTCGAACCCAGCTGATGTCATGTCATTTCTATGTGGCACAGTCATGAAGTCGATAAGTAGATTTGAAATCCGACAGTCTGGTAACGGGGTGCGCCGCTGGGGGCGAAACTGCGGTGGGGGGGAAACTGCAATCGACAACGACAAACGGGTGATATTTAAAGCAACTTGCCTGCCATCCATCCGTTCATCGCAAATCATCCATCCATCCATCCATCGCTGTTTTTTTAGCGTCGTCCAGACTTACTCCATCCACTGAAGAACAACACCAAAACACATCTCCACACTTTTCCCTTGCGCTTTCACACATTCTTCTTTGCGAACGGAAGCCGGTTTTATGTCTGAGACCATCCAGAATCTTGCATCTTACGATCCTTTCGCCGATACAGGGGAGGAGAGTGACCTGAAAGTACAGGGATATATTCGTAAGTATTGAAATTTTTGAAAGTGGGGCAAGAAGATTTTGTGGATGATGGAGACATTTGGGCCGAATACTGAGAAGTTTGCGGGCAGTTGGAAGTATTTGTTGGGGCAAGGAGAGAAAGTACCGAAAAGGACGTACGATGGCCACTTTTGGAGATGAAGATCAGGTGGAATGGGACTTTGGGCTACGTGATGGATCCGTGCTCTTTTTGGGGTTTGGCAAGCGTGGCGAGCTGGCATAGTGTTACATAGAAGATATAAATGCTTTCAGATGGCACATACTGATAGCGTAATGTTATGTAGATATCCGTGTCCAACAACGAAACGGACGCAAAACTCTTACCACAGTGCAAGGCCTTCCTGCCGATCTCGACCAAAAGCGCATCTTGAAGGCCTTCAAGAAGGAATTCGCATGCAACGGCACTGTTGTACAGGATGAAGACCTAGGCGAGGTTATCCAACTTCAAGGCGACCACCGTGTCAAGATTCAGCAATTTTTGGCATCTGAAGGACTTGCCAGTAAGGACAAGATCAAGATTCACGGGTTCTAAGGTTGGGCGGTTGAGCATAGCATAGCGTTTGGCTCATTGGGTTTAGTATTTCTATTTGAGATTTGGGCAGTTTATATGCTGAATTTGGGGTTGACTGCAAAGGAATGGCGTGCGTGTGGTTGCCGAATACAAAAGAACGAGGCTGTACTCTTTCGGGCTGTTATAATATAATTATTGATGTTGCAATTCCTGTTTACGGGTTTTCTTTTTTTCGGGTTTAACCCCATTTTCGAGCTCTTGACTGGCTTTGGCACGACGGTTTTGCATTGCAATACTCGTTAATGTCTCTTTCCACTTTCCTTTGGACAAAGTAGATTTCAAATGATTCCAGATCCCATCCTGTAACAGGGTATTATGCCTTTCTGTGACCCGCTGTGCACACACTGCCTTACAAAGCTTTGCTTGAATTTTGCCCGTAGTACCCTGTGTCCGGCGCCGAGAATAGGCGAGATGCATGTTAAACCATTTGTTGTATCGATCCAATGCGCACGCCGATATGATACTGGCATAGAGGAGGAGGGGAGCAAGATAGCAACAGTCGCTCGTAATGCTGCCCAATCCAATGAATATGGAAATTTGGTGCCGAAGCATCAAATACATCTGTTAATCCCATCAGATTTCGCTTCCTCCAGGCGACGCCCGCGTATATCCAGCTCACTTCTTTTGGTCATATTCGGTCCCTCCAAAATAAAGACCAATGGTTTTCTCGATCACAAACGCAGCAAAGTCTTGCAACAGAATAAGAATCGGTCTTGTTGCCGCAGGTTCCGTTGCATCCAAAAAGTTCCAAGGCGACGACAGCCGGGTCGTGTGTTGGGTGGATCTCACCACGGAAAGGAATTAACTAGGGCAGCGTAAAGTGGTTGCGCGCTGAACATGGATACAGTTGACTTAAATTGTCTTTTGGATGTGATGAACGGTGTTGGTAACTAGTTTACAATTATATTCATGAACTACTGCAACATCGTGCCAAAAATCTTGATAAAAGTTACAGGCTTTCATAAATGTGTTCAGATCACATCAAGGTTTCCAAATGACTGATTGGATGATATGGAGTTTGGTACCCAAGACCGTTTATAACGTATGGCACTTGACGCTTTGCGATGTCCTATTCTAATCGAGTGAAAGCGGCGGGCTGGACAGAGTTTTTGTCGTGCGTTGCTCCGAATGGGTATTGTTGAATCTTTGCAGACTAGTAATTTTACATGCTTTTGCGTTCATGAGACCAAGTCACAGATGAGAACCTTCCTCCATGACTGAGAGACGCTAATGGAGCCTTTGCAATCATCAACAAGCTCTATCTGATAGACATGCGTTATCAAAATCCAGCTTTGTTTATACTTGTATGCTGCGCCTGCGCCAAGTGGCACGGTCCAGTTAGCAAAGCAAACGGGAAATCGCAACGTCCTGCAACCTTCTTGACCAAAAAACAGTAATTTAATGTAGCATGGGTCGAAAGAAACAAAAAGTCCTTCCCCCCGACTCCCCCCTCTGGGCAAACCAAACCGCATTCCGTGTAGTTGAGCGGTCATGGAAGCGAAAAGAACATGCACCAGATCTCCTCAAAACTCTTGTAGATCCCAGTCGAAATGCGGCAATAGCCGTTGAAGCGGGTCTGCTAAAGCCAGTTGCGCTCTCTGACGATCCTCGTCGGATATCACCGCATTTTGGGTTTTCTGTTGAACCTGATACGCCATTACCACCCGCATATGAATTAGTTAATGTCCCCGGACTCGTCATTATTCCAAACATGTTCTCTCCGTCAGCCCAGCGAACCATTATAAAACAGTGCCTAAAAGAATACACTCGACATCCCAATGTAACCAACCTTGACACGCACTGGAAACTACCATCAGCAGGGATCTGGAACCTTCACGAACTAGTACGAAAAGGAGAAATAGCATCAGGTGCTGAAGAAACGCTTCTCCGCATGCGACATGACGGAACCGTGGAAGGGGCACTCAAAAACGGATACGATAGTGATGTGAATGAAGCTGGGATCAAAATCGATCCCCCAACGACCGATACACATCATCTGACACACCTAACACCCCAGGATGCACTGTTGCGGCTTCGATGGACATCCCTGGGGTTTCAATATAATTGGTCAACCAAAGAGTATCATCTGGACCGCCGGCCGTCTTTTCCACCACTTATTGGCGAATTGTCCACGGCGATTGTGGAGGCTGTACAGGGTGTGACGGGGTATGAGGCTCGTCAATGGAAGGCAGAGGCGGGGATCATCAATTTCTATGGATTGAAAGATGCATTGATGGCACATCAGGATCGGAGTGAGGAAAATGCTGCGGCGCCGCTTGTGAGCTTTAGGTGAGTGTATGGCGTTTGTCATTAAGATGTGAATAATCTTCTGATTTGAACGATCAGTTTTGGACATTCGTGCATCTTTCTGATTGGTACCGAATCACGAGATGATATACCTACCTCAGTGGTTTTGAGAAGCGGCGATGTTCTTGTTATGCATGGGCAGTCTCGGCTCGCTTTTCACTGTATGTAATCCTAGCGGTTGACATGTCGTGCGTGTTCTAATCGACGAGTTGCCCTCTCATAGCCGTCCCGCGAATCCTCGAAAATACCCTTCCCGAGTACCTTTTCCCGCATGTGGATGAGGCACCTGATTGGGACCTGTTTGCAGAGTACATGGCTGCCTCAAGAATTAATATCAACGTGCGACAGGTGAAATGACGGATTGGACTCAAAGTTGCAGTTAACTTGTAGTTATTATTTATAGCGTGGCTTAATGTAGAGAAGGACATGTTATTAGATAGGCAAACATCTTGAATAGGTATGCAACCACAACATGTGCCATTGTAATATGCAAATGTGGCAAGAAAACAACCATTGATATAACAAGGTTCTATAATAGTGACTCTATTTGTAAAAAGAGTTCTAGTCATTGTACAAACCCAACCATTCTACACCACCCTTCTACCAATTCTGCCGCACCCCCCCACCTCCAAGCCCAATACCATCCCGCAGCAAATACCGTTCCCACAACCCATCCCACGCCTACTTGGGCAACGGTATGTTTCCCCAGATACACCCTCGACCACGCTACAATTAATCCAAACACGTTTAATCCGATCAATATTCCTGATGCTGCTGTTGATGGTTTTGTTGGCGGATGCGGATTGTGGGGAGAGAGGACCAGGTAATAAAGGGTAAAGTAGGTTGCAAAGTAGGCTGTGACTTGGGTATGGGAAGAGGGCATGCCGTGGGTATGGGAGGAGAAGATGCGGGTAATAATGTGAGGGGGGGAAGTTGTGGAGGGTGACGAGACTTTCTTTTCTAAAACAATCGAAGGACGGGGTTGACGGATAATGGTTTTCAAGAGTTTGGCTTAAACGCAATCATGTCAGACTGAGTGTGCTTTGTATAAAGAAGTATTGAAAACGACGGACCTACAAAGCTACACGCGACTCCACCTGCAGCGGTCCATAGGACTTGTGGGGATCGAGTGTAGAGAATGGTCATTGCCACGGCAGCAGTGACAGTGAAGCGTGCCTAGCAAGGACAAAAAGTTTTGGTGTAATGGCAAGGGTGTCATGGGCAAAAGTATGTCATTGGGTTTCTCTAGGTTAAAAAAAACATACATGCTTTACGACCGAAAAAAGGGCCTCGCGTTTCCGCATGTTTCCTACTAAAGTGCGACAATCGGTCGCAGGTCCCTGGCGTACTGGTAAAGAGCCAGCGTTCACACAGGGAGGTCCGTAGAGAGCAACTCGACAAAGGTTTGGGCAAATGGTTTACAGCCCGTTAAATTCCCGCAAGATGGAAAAAACCTCCAAACTCTTTGTTCAGATCCGTCGTTCCTTTCAGTCCGATCGCGCAGCGGAGAAAGCTAATGACACATTTCATGCACGTTCGATCCTCGCGTGCGACAAAAATCATTTTGTTTTTTCCGTCATTGATGACGTCAGCTTGACCCTCCGACATCCTTCCTTTGCGATCCTTTGAATCCTTTGGCAAGCCGCTCAAGACCTTCTTTCTTGGCAGGAAACACACACACACACACACACACGTTTTTCGACCAAAGGGCATAAACACCTTTTTTTTATCGCAAAGCATCTGACTAGAGTTCCTGAAGATGACGAGATCCGATTGCCATATTACGCCAAAAAGAGGATGACCTCAATTTGGAACACTTTTTGTTTGTCCATGTGTTCCTGCCAGCCCCCATGGGGCAGTGCCCACAAAAAACACCATATAGAGTGCAAAAATACACCACAATGTCATGATAGCCTCCCCGTTAACTAACGGCAAAAACGAGTTATTGATCCGCAAATGTGGATAGGGATCGCTAACCCCTAATGGCCCAGTTGAGCGCTTCAATTTCCTTTTTTTTGTGCCTTTTCCTACAGTGTATCGTTTGGCAGGTGTTGGTCATGCCCATTGGAGGACTTTCTAGAAAACGTGCAGGGGTAGACGTCAGCGGAAGAACAGCGAAAGGAAAATTGTGCAAAGATGATGGCATATTGGTCGTGCGTTGGTCGCTGACCGAGTCATTTTCAAATCGAGGGATTGAGAAAGCCCCTCCATTCCAGAGTGTCTATAAATTCAAGGGTTTGGACATCCCCCTTTTAGTCTATAGCAATCGTATTCCAATTCGCAAGCTTCAACCCGTCTCCATAGTCATCATCCCAAACCCCCTGTTGAAAATCATGCATCTTCTCCAATCTTTAGCCCTAGTCGCCGCATCCCTTACGCTCGCAATCGCGCAACAATCCACACCTCCCGCGAATATGTACGATACGTTAGCAGCACACGCAAACAACCAAACCACCACCCAGGGTCAAACGTACGGAACCTTTTATGGTCTCGCCCAACGTCTCTCCGACATTGGCAATGCTCTTAAACAAGGCAACACGAACCGGACTTTGTTTGCGCCGACTGATGATGCATTCAGAAAGTTGAACGATAGCGATCCGACTGGTTACCAGGGTTTGGTGGCCAATACGCAATTGCTCACAAATGTTTTAAAGTGTAAGTTGAGCAAAGAGCCTTTTAATCTCTATAAAAAGCTTTAGGTTAACCTTAAATAACCTTAAATTCTTAGATCACCTTTTGGCAAAGGATCAGTACTTTGACCCTACGCGTGTCTCCGCCTACCGCGGATTCTACGGTACCGAACTCGACAAGGGTCAAGTTGTCCGCATCGACGTAATCGACGGCAGGTTGAACAACGGCAGGACCACTTTGACCAACGGCGTAAACTCATCCAGCACCGTCGGTACCATCCCCGCCTCCAACGGTGTTATTTACGGGATTGATTCGGTCCTCGTTCCTCCTTATAGTTTCAACAGGACCCTAGCATCCAAGGACTCGACCAGCGCCTTCCAAGCCTTGCTTCAGCAAGCTAACCTTACGACCAAGGCAGATTCGCTACAATACGTCACCATCTTTGTACCAAACAATGCCGCTATACTGGCACTTCGATCAACTGATGCAAACCTCTCTGCAGCCATTTTGTCAACTACACTCGACCTCCACATTGTTCCCCGCGTTATCTACTCCACGGAAATTCCACAAACCGATAACAATCCAGTCAATGTCTCGACGGCTGCTCCCGGTTTGAATGTCACTGTTCGTAAAAGCGGAAACGACATTTCGGTCTCAGGGCCTGGAAACCGAATCCCAGCCAGGGTTGTCGATGGAGACATTTTGTTTGCGGGCGGTGTCATTCACATTATTGACAGCGTATTGCTCCCCAATGTCAACGCGAATGGAACGGTCCAAGGTCTCCAAGGTGGTGCAGGCAACCAGCCCGACACTCCTGTCCAGCCTAATTTGCCACAGGACAACACGGCGCAAGGTCCTATTGCTGGTGGTGGGGATGTCAGCAACATTAGGGATGTCAGCAACAGTAATAATTTGAGGGGTGTCGGTGGTAACAGTGGCTCTGGCTCTGGCTCAAGCTCTAGCAGCGCGGGCAAAGCTGTAGAGTCGTCCTTTGGTGCTGTGGTGGCTATGGCAGTGGCAATGATTGCCCTCTTGTGAGATGCCTATCAAGAGATTCTAGTCTCGAGTCGTTCTCTAGGAGTGCTGTATCATATTCCTTGACACTAGGTGTCCAAATGTAGTTGTAATATATGTCTCTGTATCTAAGCTAAACATTTTTTGCACTGCATTTGCTACGTTTATAAAGGATGCATTACGATGGTAGGATTAACAAACATTGCTCCCGGCAGAGGAAAAATGTTCCATAGGCAGTAATTCGTCAGTGAATGTCATGGTACTGCTTGACACTGCTCGTTATGCAATATTGCGAGTGTGGCATGTCCGAGGTTGTTTAGCTTCCAACGTGAATCAATCTGCTCCTCTTCCATACTGCAGGGGCAACAATAACTGCTGCCAAATACTTGAAGAAAAAAAATATATTTACACTCATTTCGAACATTCCAGGTGAACTTGACGATATTGGGCGGTACGTAAAAAGAGCCCAACACAACAGACAGAAAAAAAGAAGTAAAATTATAACATCTGTCCACCAAAGTTCGTACAGAGACATCATGATCTAGTTTGGCTCGTCATCATCTGCACTCATGGCTGCGCTTTCTTGTCCAACCTTCTTGTCCTCATGGAACTTGCGCAACAAGGTGTCCACTTCGTCAATGTTTAGAGGTCGGATATCGGCAAGCTCCTTGATCTGAGCGGTGACGGCCTTGACGTCATCGTCATTCAGCTTGAGGCCAAGTTGGTGGACGCGGTTCTTAACGGCATTCCATCCGGTGAGACGGTGGCCAATGGAGACGTAACGAGTCATACTAGAGATGGAATCACCAGTAAGGTTTTGCCGACCACAGAGAGAGTGCACGAGCAAATGACTTACCCAAAGTCCTCTGGCTTCAGGATTTCGTAAGTGCTGGGGTTGTTCAAAATTGCCTTGGCGTGAATACCGGCCTTGTGGGTAAAGGCACAGTATCCAGTGATGTAGTTGTTGAAGGGCACTTGAATTTGGACCGCATCCGCGACCAAATTCTCAATGTCACGGAGCTTGTGAAGCTTGTACTTGCCCATCACATACTCCTTGTTGGCAACATACATGCGGGCACAGAAACCACCAAGAGGGGTGATACCGTTACGCTCACCGATACCAAGCACTGATGTGTCAATGTGTGTTGCTCCGGCCTCGAGCGCTAATGAGTGGGAATGTTTACGTGAGCCACTGATTGCCATCCCGTAATGGGTGTGATAACAACAAGCACTCACCAGCGTATGCATTAGCAATTCCACATCCGGTGTCATCGTGGAAATGACATTCAATGTCACATGACACTACACCACGCAAGGTCCTCACAAGCTCGTACACTTGACGAGGGTTCGCACATCCAACAGTATCAGCGATACCAACTCGGTTAACACCAATCTTATCCACAGCCCGGTAAATGTTCAACAAGTCGACCAAGTCACTTCGGAAAGAGTCTTCACTCGAGAATCGCACTTCCAACCCCTTGCTCTTGATAAAGTTGACGACTTCAATTGCTTGCTTGGTAATGTAGGTCATGTCCTTGCCGTGGGAGAATTCTCGGAGGAACGATGATGTTCCAATCACAACATCCAAACCATCTACGCCTGTCTCTACTGCAATTCTAGCATCGTCCATGTGACATCGGACGTGTGTAAGAATCTGTACAGTAACGAAATTTAAGTTTTTTGCTATTGACAAAACCCAATCAACGATACAGTGGGAAACGGACCTTGGCCTTCAGTCCCAACTTTGCAATCGCCTCACAATCCTGTCGTGATTGCTCAGAGGCAGCTGGCGACGTCAACTCAATGTATTCCACACCAAAGTCATCCAAAGCCTTGGCAATGGCAATTTTGGTCTCAGTGTCAAAGAAGGCGTTTGCAAACTGTTCTCCCTCTATAAAAAAAAGTTAGACTTTGTTTACATTCCTATAATATACACAGCGCAAGAGACCCACACACACCTCGTAGAGTGGATTCAATGATGGAAAAGTTGTCTACTCTGCTCAAAAAGTCTGCGTACTTGGGACCATATGCAGACGGGGTGTGAATGGACTCGACGGCAGCACCGTTTCCGTTTTGTTGTGCAGGAGGAGGAGTCATGATGTGTGTGTAAAAGGAGTGTGTGTGTGTTAGATGCGTATGCGTATGTGTGAAAAGTCCTTGTTGAAAATCAAACGGAAAGCGCAAGAGATGAAAAGGAAATCCAAACAAGAAAGCTGCGTTTTATAAACAAGGACGAAACTCGACATCTCCCGCATCTTTTTGATCTCCAACCAAATCAGTAGATGTCACGTGAATCATTTATCTATTTTCATCAATTAGAAAGAAAACGTCACTTTGGATTTTGCTGTGCATTCCAGCATCTCACCATTCTCCATCTCTCGAATTTAAACATTAGCATGACTTGGATCTCTACCGCCAACGCATGGCAGCTGTACAGATGCAAGCATCCTGAACATTCCTACCTGCACTCGTTATTTCCACCGCAATTCACATGGTGCGGTCGGCTTGTCATGTGCAGAAGAATCACAAATCTCTTTTTTTAACCATCCTCTAAAGCTGTAACGAGAGTGTGTGGTACGCTAGGGATTGATATGTCAAGAAAGGCTGGAATGCTGAGCACGCTTTCTCCAAAATATCAAGTTGCATTGCACCAGTTGATCACACATAGAGAATCATGATTTCACAACTTTTACACATATTTCAAATGCCGTAAGGCCAATAATGATATAAGAAATTATACATGATAAAGGATCAACCTCCATATTCACAAAAGGTTCACGCAACTGGGATCCGGACGTCTCACTTTTCTTTTACACTAGAGTCGTCAAGATTCCGGGTTTCGTGCCTTTTCACAATCACAACTGAACTAGCACTGTCCTCGTCCACCCACTTTTTCAATGTCCCGCCAGCCATGCGCGCAAGAGTAGCGTATGTATCGTGACCCACCACAATCAAGTCCTTGCGTCCAAATGCGTTACCTCGGGATGTAACGGCTGACAAGGCATCAGTGGTGTTGATGTTCTCGACAGAGACATTGGTAGGGTTGATGTTGGTGAGTGTGGAAATGGATGTGTCGTTGAGTGTAGATTCAGATGTTGCTTCTCCTGAGGATGATGAGTGGAGAACATCGATGGCTAGCGTGGCGGATGATAAGTCCTTGTTGTTGTCTCCTTGTACTCGCACTCGGAGAACAGTGACTGAAAGCCCGGGGTGAGAAGCTAATTGTGCGACGAAGCGGAGAGCTTCCCTGTCGTCCTCGGTGCCAAAGAATGGAACAAACACGTGCTGGTTTTGTCCTGGGATGGTTGCTGACGGCTCGACAACTTGCGTCGACGACACGCCAAATCCACGGTCAACAAATACTGCCACAGAGCAAGGTGCGGCTTCAACGACATCCTTCACAAAGTGGTCGTTCATGCAGCTCTGCCTGGATTCTCCTGGAGGCTGTTGCCATGGAAGAAGGATCAAGTTGATCTTCGAGTCCACACTGGTTTCCACAATGTTGCTTGGAAAGTCTTCGGGTGGGGAGACGGTGACGAGGGTATGTACACTCACTCTGTTGAGCTGACCAAAGGTTCGGAACACGTTGATAACCGGATCTGCACGCATTGTCTCGCCTTCGTTGGCAGCCATCATGTACGTCGATGTACGTTCTGTCAGTCGGATCAACCGAAGGGCAAATACACTCAACGAGGAACGGGTCGTCTGGAACATTTGTGTGACGCTCATCATGGCGGGAACAGTAGCCATATTGGGCAGGCACAAAAGAACTTGGATACCGCCTCGCTCGTGGTTCGAGTTGGACTCCCATTCATGCTTCTCAAGGTCGTGATGCGACCTTGACATTGATAGAGTATCGTGCGACGCAGCGCGACGGATATGCGTGTAGAACTGTGGCGGGTAGATGAAGCTGATAATTGGTGTTGTCATGAAGGTGGTTACGAGGGCCATAATGACGAACATGCTGAAAATCTTTTGGTTGATGACCCCAGCTTCGTAACCCAAGTTCAGTACGATAAGCTCCACCAAACTGTAAAATGCCGTAGGTTAGCACCACTGTCGCGATTGACATGGTAAGCATATCTACATACCCTTTGGTGTTCATCAAAAAGCCAACAGCAAAAGACTCCCGCCAGTTGAATCCGGTGAATTTGGCTGCCGCAGTGCAACCAACAACCTTGCCACCACAAGCAACCAGAATTACAAGAATAGTATATCCCCAAGCTTGTCCATCGCTGAGGGTACCGATGTTTGTGTTGAGGCCAGAGAGGGCAAAGTACTAGAATGTGACTTTATGTTGGCATCTTGCAAGTAACATGGCACAGATATCTAAATACGTACCAAAGGAAGCAACAGAATGGTGACAAAGTCTTCAATCTTTTCAGTCAGTTTGATTGCAAATCCATGGTCATGGGGAGTAATCAATCCGGCAAGGAAACCGCCAAAGATAGCATGCACACCCGCAGCTTGCGTAAACCACGATGATCCAAGAATCACAATAAATGTGGCTAGCACACTCAAATGGGAGATATGGTCGTTGTCAGCGCCCCGGCGAACAATATACGCCAAAAGGGGGCGAACAGCTATGACGAGGAAGAGACCCCAGGCTACAACGAGAAGGAAAACGTATACAGCTGTAACAGAGTCGCTGGGGTTGTTGATAAGGGCGACTACCAGGATCAAGAGACACCATGCTACACCATCATCGACAGCGGCGGAAGCAAGTGTTACTTGGCCAACGGTCGTTTGCAACAGCTTCAGCTCGGTTAGAATACGTGCAAGAACGGGGAAGGCTAGATTCCGTCCAATGGATTAATCAATTGTAAAAAAAAACCAAAAAACACGAGATCCTTGCTCACCAGTGATTGACATTGCCACACCACAAAACACAAAAAAGGAGTAAAAAGGCACAGTCTTATCCGCGAGCGTATCGTAGATGGCTTTACTAACGCCCACACCGACGGCAAACGGAACGGCGATTCCCGAGATGGAAATAAAGGCGGACTGCTTTGCTTTCTTCATGAGGGTCCGGGGGTCAAGCTCCAGTCCCACAAGGAACAAGAAGAAGATGAGGGCAAAGTTGGCAATAAGACTGAGACGGGGGATGGACGACTAAGGAGGCGGTGGGTGTTAGTTTCAACTGCAAGGCATCATGTTTTCAACGTAGCTACTTACAGTAGGAAAGACATTTTCCTTGAAAGCTGCGCTCCTCGACAAAACGGAAGGCCCCAACAGGATACCACCAATAACCTCAGCAATGACGCGCGGTTGCCTCACATATCCCAATAGGATCGCCAGTAACCTCGACAGCACAATGATAATCAGTGCTTGAAGGAGGAAGAGGGCGACGGGGTCGGTGAGAGGGTTCTTCCCCGAGAGAATACTTCCTTCTGCCATTTGCGGTAGTGTGCAGACTTGGCACTAAAAAGTTACGTCTCGCCGTGGGCCAGAAAAAAGACCTGTACGTAAACTTGGCAGACGGGAGGGCTGTGGCAAAAGGCAGGTGACTTGGAGGGGGTGAAAGAACACACTTGGTTTTTATAACACTTTCCCGAAGACAAGACACGTTTGGTCAATTCGATAGCTGATGACAATCCTACCAACTGCGCCACGGCTCGCGAACGCGAAACGCAATGGGCGGGTTTCACCCCTTTAAGCCACTTTGCCGCTCTGTTACATGACTGTGCCGGTAGTCTCCCTTTGAAAAGAGACGGGACTCGTCATTGGACCGATCCGCCAAGTTTAAATTTCATGCCAAGGCTCAAGTTTTGAATATGCCAAGTCAGAATATATTTTAATTCCACTCCCATATATCGTATCGTTCATTAAAAAGGCTCGATAACTCCCATCTGCCAAGTCTGTGCTTTACGGCCAAGGACTTGCAAACGGAACATACGCAACTCCCGCGGCCCGCCGCCGGCAGTCGTTCTGGGCGGCGCAGTCCGCTCATCTGGAGGGACAAGGTTCCAGACACCTGGCTCGCTTTTTAAACTTTGGCAAAAGCCTCCGAAACTCCGCCCACATGAAAAGTCACGTGGATGGTGAATAGTCACGTGCATATCCAGGACTCGCACTGACATCACCGTGCTGGTTCACCTCATTGTCGACATGAACACACAAAATGTCATTGACAGAGGCAAGCAAGATAAAGGCCATTATAGTGCCTGGAAATGGTTGTGACGACGTCCGGGACTCTGTCTTTTATGACTGGCTTGCCCAACGCATCCGTCCATTATTTCCAGGTGGAGTCATTTTACGTGACTTTCCTGACCCGTATGTTGCTAGAGAGTCCATTTGGATACCATTTATTCTCAATGAACTCGGGTGTGATGAGAATACCGTATTGATTGGGCATTCTAGCGGGGCGAGTGCGATTATGAGGTTTGCAGTGGACTTGTCAGGCCATTCAATGGAGGTGTTTGTTCACGTTTGATTGGTTGATTAGATTGCTTGAATATCATAAAGTTTTGGGGGCTGTTCTTATATCTGCTGCTTTGACAGATCAAGGAATTGAAAATGAGGTATACCCCGCTTGTTACCAGCAAACAACTTTTCATCTTATCAGTTGCTTACAAGCGTTGTACCCTTCCAATAGCGAGCGTCCGGCTATTATTCCCGCCCATGGCAATGGTCCGCCATGACCAAGAATGCCAAATTTATCATCCAAATATCATCTGAAGACGACCATCTGGTCCCCATCGATGAACAGCGGACTGTCGCCAAGGGACTTGGTGGAGATGTCGAATATGTGGAATTCAAGGATATGGGGCATTTCTTAATGTCTGAAGTACCACAGATTGCCCAAGTCATTGAGCGTAAGATGAAAACATTGGAGTAGAATGAATAGTGTGCTGCCTGTTCATGTACAAGTAGGAGGTAGACCTTTACAAATATACCCATTGCTAGCCAACTTGGCTTCGCGAGGCTAAGCCGCTCCTTTTCTCACTCTACAATCAAACATCATCTGCATGCCTCGTCACGTCCAAACACAATCACAGAACGACGTGCTCGTACAAGAAGCAATCACCACCCTCCGTCAGACTATTCAAGACGACCGTCATGTGTCACATTCCTCAACCTACCACCTGTTCAAAGACCCAGTCGAGATCAACAGTCTGAGAAAGGCCCTTCTCGACTGGTACGATGGCCACCAGCGTGAAATGCCCTGGAGGACTCCTTGTGGTTCCAAAGCACAGGTGGGACATGCAGAAAGGATATAGCCAGCACGAGAAAAGAAAATGAATTGCTTATTCAACGGACCCTGTGTTCAGTAGACGTCTAGCGTATTGCCGCCATCTGAGAAGGAAGCGGCACAAAGGGCATATGAAGGTTGGCTACAAGTATTATCTTGAATATTTGTTATAAAATTCTTGACAATCGATTGTATTAAGTTTGGGTCAGCGAGGTCATGCTCCAGCAGGTATGGATTTAAGGTACTAATTGTTGGAAAACAACGAGTTGAAGCGATCTCCCCTGTTCATGCAAGACCCAAGTAGCGACCGTTATCCCATACTATAAAAGATGGCTTCAGAATTGGCCTACAATTCACGATCTGGCAAAGGCACATCCAGAAGTAAGCAACGTAAAGACAGTGGAGATGTTTTCAAATCTAAACCTCGCGCGCTCTTTCGCAGGACGTAAACAAGGTGTGGTCGGGGCTCGGATATTATTCACGTGCTAGAAGACTACATGAAGGTTCCCAACTCGTCGTCCGCAAATTTGAGGGAATCCTCCCTCGCGATGCGAAATCTCTCGAAAAAGAAGTTCCCGGTATTGGACCATATACAGCAGGTGCAATTGCCTCGATTGCTTATAACCTACCGGCACCACTTGTGGATGGAAACGTCGTACGTGTATTGTCCCGTCTGCGAGCTGTCGCTGGAGATCCAAAGGGCAAGGATGTGATATCATTGCACTGGTGCGTTGTTTATGCGGTGAACATGATCCACCACGGCTCTCTAGATGTTGACACGGATTTTGATAGGTCTTTAGCCAAAGATATTTTGGATCCGGATAGGCCCGGTCACTTCAATCAGGCATTAATGGATTTGGGAGCTACGGTCTGCACGCCACAAACCCCTGATTGTGTTGCGTGCCCCATTAAGGAGTTTTGTCGTGCGAATGCTGAGGTACGCTTTTGTAAATATCTTCTGTCCAAGATCTTGACGCTATGAACTGACTATGGGTTGGGTCGTAGCAAAGGGCCCAGATTCTCCTTGCAAAGCAAAAGTTCCTTGGTACAGGGAATGTGGATAGCCCAGCAATGAGTACCCTGGGTATGTACTAGCGCTGTTACGATTATCGTAGACCATCAACTGATGTTCCCTGTAGATCTTTGCAAGCTGTGTCCTCCACTGATGGACATTGAGGAAAGTGGTGTCAAGCGATATCCTGCCAAGGCAAAGAAAAAGCCTCCGCGAGAAGAAGGTTGGAAAGTGACCTCGTTGCTCGTTATGCAACAATGATATCATTGCTAATCTATCTGGGTAGTTCGCGCTGTGTGTATCTTGGAACACGTTGGGGCACATAAAGAGTCAAAATTCCTGCTTGTTCAGGGACCAAAGGAAGGTGAGCGGCCCCAGGGAACATTGTTTTCGAAGCATGGAGAATGAGCCTGCTAATCATATATACGTTTAGGCTTGCTAGCAAATCTTTGGGACTTTCCTAACATTGAGCTGCAATTGCCAGAGCCAAGCACTGACGGGACAGGTGGAGCATTGCAAAGCAAGTCGGGTTCGGTTATAGAGAACATTCAATACGGCACGTGGAAGACAGCTATAGACGAGTGGATGGGCACACATCTGAATATCAGCCTTTCGTCATTGCAGGATGAGAACAGAACAAGAGCGGAAGTCACTGTCATAGATCGGATGGATTTAGGCTCGACGCTCCACCTGTTCTCGCACATTAAACGTGTGATGGTGGTGGAACACGTCATCATCACCGGCGAAATCCAGTTGCCCTCCAACGTGACTGCTAAGACTAGCACATCTCCAGAGACGCTCATCAAAGGCAAATCCAAACCTAGGAATGCAAAAGAAAAAACAGCGGATACTGGGGTTGAGACTCGGCCACTACGATGGTTTACAGAGGCTGAAATGATGGGTGATTCTGCCGCTGTTCCCGCAACCTTGAAGAAAGCATTTGCCTTACTCGTCAAGGCTAGAAACGCAACCATGAAAACTAGAAAGGCGCCCGGGAATGCACAAAGAAAGAAACGGAAAGCTGTGGATGAAGACGTTGAGGATGATGCTGGAGATGTTATTCAGCCAGAGCAAGTAAGAAAGTCCAGGGTTTATTTGAACAGATTTTATTTGATCTCGATGACTCAGTCCATTTTTGTAGTCCACGCCATTAGCAAAACGGACCCAATCCAGTAGCAGTAGAACCACAAAAGTGGTGAGAGCTAAACAATCAAGGAAGGGCGACGTCAGGGATGCAGGATCTCAATTAAAACAGTCGGGAATAGCCGCATATTTGACTCGCCAGCCATAGAGAATGAAAGAGGAACCTGGAAGTTTGTAGTTGTTTGACGCTAGATTTTGGACTTTTCGACCTAGTATGTATATATTGATCGTTTCTAGAACTATACACTGGAAATTAGTTTGGCGATACATTTTATGCTAGAGTATGGGACTTCACGGGCATTATCTGCTATTCGTGCAGATGGCCACATTCACGTGATACAGTTTGTTATGAACGAGACCTTTCGAATATAAGCCTTCAGATATACATCCCTACCCGACATATCCACCCAGAAACGACATTTTCATCAACCGCTTGGCTCGAGCGACATCTGAGGATGAGCTTCTCGTACGAATAAAAATAAAATAATCTTTTTGTTCGTTGACTATCGATGTGAGCGCCCCATTCGGGTGGCGGACCCCAAGATATTTAGCTCTTTATGGAAATTGTATTGTGTGGCTGGTAGTGGCATGTAAGCCGATGAGCTATTAATCGATAACTGCAAACTCCATCCGCCAGCGTTTTTTTGGCAAACAATTTCAACTCATCCGCCTGGTGCAGCGTATCATTTAACGCATCCTGTACACCCGCACCACACGCTCTTTTTACATTTCTGCTCATATTGATACACATGGCTTTGGTTCGCGGAATAAGGACGGCGTTTGTTCGTTCGCAGCCTTTTGGATTGAGCGCGGGATTGGCGGCGAGGAGAGGACTGGCTACTGCAACGCACCAGGTAGGACAATGAAAGCTTTACTCAAGACAATATTGGCTCTGTGTGTGGAAACGACTCGTCTGGCTAGCGGGGTGATGGAAGATGACGTGGCATTCACCAAAAACGCGCACTAATGTTGAAAGTGTCCCTCAACTCGCAGCTTACGGTCCGTGATGCTCTAAACCAAGCCATGGAAGAAGAAATGCGCCGCGATAAGACAGTCTTTCTTTTAGGAGAAGAGGTTGCTCAGTATAATGGTGCCTACAAGGTTTGCTCCCCATTGTTCTTACTGTTCGCTGTCCTACTTTCAGCAACTAACTGTGTAAAGCAAGGTATCAAAAGGCCTCTTGGACAAATTTGGACCAGACCGGGTTATCGACACGCCAATTACGGAGATGGGATTTGCGGGGTTGGCTGTGGGATCCGCTATGGCTGGATTGAAGCCCATTTGCGAGTTTATGACCTTTAATTTTGCGATGCAGGTGAGAAAAGGGCAATAGGCAATGGAAGGGTTGTTATAGGCGGACTCGGAGGTTGGGTTCGGCATTGGTAATTGGGGTGTACGCCGGAACTGGTGACTGGCGGGGACATGGATCGAAAGTTCCGGTGAATGAATGGGATGACCTGGCGACGTATAGGAAGGATAAATCAACTATGCGCCTTTTCGAATTCTTTGCTCACGAGCGCGTCCTTACTACAGGCCATCGACCACATTGTGAATTCAGCCGCCAAAACTCGATACATGTCCGGTGGTATCGTCGGCGTCCCAATTGTTTTCCGCGGTCCCAACGGCGCAGCGGCAGGAGTTGCAGCCCAGCATTCGCAGGATTATGCTGCATGGTACGGTCAGATTCCTGGTCTGAAGGTTGTCAGCCCGTGGAGCGCCGAGGATGCGAAAGGATTGTTAAAGGCTGCGATTCGGGACCCGGATCCAGTTGTTGTGTTAGAGAATGAGATTATGTATGGACAGCATTTCGATGTCTCGGAGGAGGTATTGTCAGATGACTTTGTGCTACCGATTGGAAAGGCCAAGATCGAGAAGGAGGGTGAGTTTTGCGTAGATACAAATTGTGTTGAGATATTTGGCTAACGATTTCCGGGGATGATAGGATCGGATATAACAGTCGTAGCGCATTCACGCGCTGTTGGCCAAAGTTTGGATGCTGCCAAAGAGCTGGAAAAGGAGGGTATCAAAGTGGAGGTACGCACCGCATCACAGATTTGGTCCCTCCATGCGTCAGTCGTACTAAAATGAGCTTACTAGGTCATCAACCTCCGCTCCATCCGCCCTCTCGACATTGACACTATCATTAAATCCGTAAAGAAGACCAACCACCTTGTAACAGTCGAAGGAGGATTCCCCCAATACAGCGTAGGATCAGAGATTTGCGCTCAAATCATGGAGAGTGAGTATCGGCTGTAAAAGACTCGTACTTGATGTTTATTGACCTTGGAATTGATAGGTGATGCATTTGACCACCTTGATGCGCCTGTCAGCCGAGTAACTGGGGCAGATATCCCTATGCCTTACGCCAAGAACCTGGAGGATTTGAGTTTACCTCGAGTCGAATCGATCAAGAACACCATTTTGAAAAACCTCAACAGAAAGTGACATGTGGGCGTCCATGGGCCAGGATGATGAAGGGAATGGGTTTGAGCCATATTTTTTGTAAAAATTCAAACTGTGGGGTGAATTGGGTATCGCTTCATGTTCAATATAGACTTTTGGGGGAGAACCGACAATACCTCATCGCATGGATTGATGACCGCTCTGTTCAGATGAATTTCTAATGATATTCGGCTATCTCTATCTACACACCCCTTCCTGCAACAACAGATCCACCCTCATCGCTCACACCTATCTACTACTTGACAATTTTCAACTCGCTAATCCGATCCACAGCATATTTATCCTTGTGGTCATGATACAGTTTCACCAAAGCGTCTACATATTGCTTATGCACCGCCGCAACGTACTCGCGGGAAGGATTTTCCTGCTTTGTCACCGGTATGGGCGCACCAACTACAGGAGGAGTATGCTTCAATGGAATGCCAAACAGCACAGCCAACTATGAACAACCTACCAACAGACACGATTTTAACCTTGCGTGGGAAAGGCCCAAACCGACCCCATATAAGGGGAAGCGAAAAGGTCATCTTTTTGGTCAAGCTATTCTGTATTTTCCGAATAGAAGGAGCGTTCGCGTCTGTTACTTGCCAAAACAAGTCGTTTTCGCCGAATGTAAAGACGGGGACCAGAGAGGCACTTTTAAAATTAAAAAATAAAGATTAGACCAAAACAAGTGAAATGCCCAGAACTGTCAAATTTAGCACCACTCACCCAGTCTGAATTGCAATCTTTATGAATCCCTTTCGTCGGTCGATAACAATATCATTGGTTCCCGGGTACGACAATAGACTACAAAATGGCTCCGTTAATACTGTCGCTTGTGTCGAAACTCACATACTACGTACGCTTCATCCGCACCACCTACAACAACCATGGTACTCCATCCAGGCCCCTTTTTAGTCAAGACATGTTTCAAAGACTTTGCAGAAACCGAAATGACACCAAACGCCATTTGGGATTCGCGCCAGAGCGGTATACTCCAATTAAGATCCAGTGTTGTCATGCGGAGTTTGATTCCCGGAAAGAGACCAGAGAAATTGTTGACGTCTGTTATAAAGTTTGGGCTGTTCATCATGTTTAATAGCGGGTTGGAAGGTACTTTTCATGATCAAGGGATAAGAGGCTTACAGTAGGCCATAGCAGTAAATACCGTGGGGGTGGTAACCAAAGAGATAGTTTCCCCTGGGGTCCAGATCGGCTGTTTTGATGAGTTCAGCAGAGAAATAGTCCCTATATGATACAAAAAAAAAAAAAACTCCATTAAGTGAGATTCCAAAAAAAAAGTGCAGAATTCTGGCGCATATTGTCTAGATCCACATCTAATCTTCCCATTTTCCATACCTGAAATACTTCCAAAACGACCAATCCCTGATGAACCTCCAGCGATCTGTTCCACCCGTGTATGGCGTATCCACATCAATAAAGTAGGCAAACGTCCAATACATCACGGCAAAAGGCCATAGATAGCGCCAGTTGTAAAAGAACCACACATGAAGGAGCAATTCAATGTGAGGAATACATGTGTAGCATAGGACGGCCTAGTTAAGCAAATCAGTATAAACCACAGAGTGGAATACGTTTGGATGTGTGTTAAGCAAGTGTATTTACCAATATCTCAAAGATATCTGACTTGCGATATGGTCCAATAGCTTTGGTCGCAGTTGCTTTGGCCTTTACCGATGAGTCCTGCATTGCGGGAGCGTCCACAAACCGTGGTGAGTCCAAACTATCACTGGGTTCCTTCAAACTCATGGACGGGGGTTGCTACTGATGCTACTGATTAAGAGGCTCTTGCAATGGAGGAAGGGGAGGAATGGAAAAACGCGCGCGGTTAAAGAATGGACTCCAATAATCGATCGGGTCATCGCGCACCCGCAGTTTCGTAATTTGATAGCAATGTGGGCCATATGGCACAAAAAAAAACCATAGCAGAAAAGATAAAAAAAAGTAGGAGATGCTGGGCAGCAACGAAGAAATAGACGAATGGACGAGGCAGACGTTTATTCCTGAACTAATAAATGCGAAGGTGATGAACTTGTATTCCCTTCTTTCCTAGTGTTGAGGGCAAGATAGATCCAATGAATATCATCCACATCTTATTGCAAAAAGGAGCTCTTATTCCTTTCACCAAATCATCCTGATCACTGCCGGACCACCTTTTCCTGTCTAGCATCAATAATACAATGACATGCAAGATACCCAATGACTGTCACGAATGGTTGTCCCCGCAGCCGCCAACAGGTTGCAATTCTAATGACCCTCTACGATCAAATGCCGGTACCAAAGTATTCGAGTATTCATATCGCATAAGGTTCGAAAAAAAAAAGCAAAAATCATAGTTATTGAGGTCAAAGTCATCCAAACACCGGATTCCATTTTTTTCTTAGAGGTATAACAAAACCGACAAAGGGCCTTTTCCATTAATCTATCCCTGCCTTTCCTTCGTTGCAGGTTTCCATGCATTGTATTTTGGTACTGTTGTGTTGTAGGTCTTGAATGCCCCTTCACTTCCGGTAAGATTTTCCACGTGCGGAGGGGAGAAAAACGGTTTAGGAACGGTCTGAGGGGTGGGAACATCATCGGTGATGTGGTGAAGCCATTGATGCCTATAACGATGATAAGGATTCCATTCTGATGCTGTACCAATACAGGACAAGGGTTTCTTTTCCTACCATTCCGCTGGAACTTGTGTCGCATCCGGATTCCACTTTTTGTACTCAACCCAGCGATCACGGAGGACAATCTCGTCACGGTTTTCGTAGTATTCGTTGCCGTAGTCGTCCTTTCCGACAAATCGACCAACACGGGGTTGGTCGCTATAAAGTTTGAAAAATAAAATGGTTATTCCAAGGATTCTGTCGTGTACCAAACGAATATCGGTATGGTTACATCATAAGGATCTGCTTTACGGTGCGCCGTACACCATTTGCTCTGAGAGCTGCTAGCTGTTAGAGTGGAGCCATTAATGAGCACGAGTGGAATATACAGAGAAAAGAGCGTACTAGCGTAGTACTACTTACAGTGCCTGTCCAGGCTGCAATTGTCCCAAACCAAACCAGGTAACAAAAGTATCAGAATCACGTTAACGTAGTAATAGAACAGAGGGCCAATCGTGGTCGAGGAACGTACCGTTGAGCCAACTTGTTGCCGGCGCCATCTTCCACTAATTCTCTGCAATCTCCAGAATCACAACGCTAGGTTGTCGTGGCTTGAAAGCCTTGAGGAAGATCCACTCGCAGCCGACAATTTCCATTGTCACGTGATTCCCCAATTGGGAATGTTCAGTAAGCAGACAGATGAACAGAAACATCTACACTAAAGTGTATGCTATAAAACAATGTGTTTTGCTAGCGACAGTTACAGCATCTATATATGATTGCAAGACATGACAGCCAGCGGGTGTTCCAAAAGCTGGCCACTCCACGCAACCGTGATCTACCCTCCCAAGCAGTAAAAATCTGCCTGCAAGGGAATCTATTTACTCGTCATCGTCATCAACACCGTTATGGTCGTCACCCTCTTCCACTTCCTCATCATCATCGTACGATATTTGTATTATACCATGGTACCAGATATACCTTTTGGCAAAGTAAACCAAATTGCGTGAGTGCATCCGACATTGCTCAATACAAAGTCACAGGTCACCTTACCCTACAAAAAAACCCACAGCGCCCAAAACCGAGAGTGCAGTCTTTATGTGGTCCTCTTGTTTGGCTTTCTCTGCCGGTACGACCTGTCGACGCATGAAAAGGCTGCGAATATACGTGGTGGGAGATTTGATAATGTCGGTAAGAAGATACGACGGTCTAAGATTTGGCGATGGTCGCAGTGGTTTCTTAAAACAGGTTTTTCGGACACGCTCACAGTAAGCGTACAGGGTTGGGAATTCGAATGTGAGGATAGAGAAGAGGGTGGGCTCAGCGAGAGCTGGAATGGCGTGTAGGGCAAGGTGGCCGAATGCAATGGCATCCAATGAACTTGGACTTGGCATACTTGTTAACTAGTTTGTCAAATTGGAATCGTAGAGTTCATCTCTACTTACTCTTTTCCGAAAAAGTACTCCTTTTCCCCCAACTTGTGAGAGAGGGCTTGATAACATTCGCGAGCCACAGAGTAAACCTGCTGACTATCACGATATTTCCGAAGCCGTGCTTCGGCTTTCCTTTGCAACTGCCCCGGAACCCTCATTCCCGCCCATCCACGTAACGATTTTGCAATGGCGGGTTTTGTCGATTTGGCGGCATTGTTGACTTCGAGCCACCAGCTGTACAACTGAGAGTAGAGGTGCAGGTGAGTATACATATATAAGACAACACACCTTCCTCACCGTTCCCATCTTACCAAAGCATCATAGAGTTTATCCTCAATAAGACTTGTGTAACTTTTTGGTGAAAAGCGATCAGCCGAGAACACCTTAACGGTCGTAAGTGCAAACCAACAACAGAACTTACGCCAAACACTCTGCCTGTTCCTTCGCTGTCAAGTGGCTATCCAGATCAAGACCCTTTTTCTTGAGATGCGAGATAATCTTTGACGTGCCCACCACCGGCTCCAGGGGCCCATCTCTGAGCATCGGCAACTCGCCAGTCGGTGACACCCCAGTGTCATTGCACTCATTGACGACCCAGTTGGCTTCAGCAAATTGCAAGTAGGTCTCAATTGACAAGCAGAACGGGTCAAATGAAGGAACATTCCATGCCGGACCCCACGTAAACAGCTCTAGGCCAACCCCCGTATCGCCCATGGTTGCAAATCCAAGTTGAAAAGCAACGTCTACACAGGCCATGACTAGGATGACTCGCGTGGCACAGTCATCAAACTTATTATGGCTGTGCCTCCGTACTAGGCATGACACGCGTGACTCATAGGCACAGTCATTGTATTCAAGTATGGCTGTACCTCAGCGCTTGTTCAAAGATGAAAACCCAGCTCAGCATGGACCCGATGCTTCATTCAACGGCAAGATGACACCTCCTCAGGTAGCGGACCCTGCGTACCCCATAAGAGATGCTACAGAGGCAGATGTACCGGGTATGCTCGAAATTTATAACTGGTGCATCCTCAATAGCGTCGCGACATTTGACTACGATCCCTGGACCTTGGAGGACAGGTTGGGATGGTTTCGTCAGTTTAATGAGCAGCGGCCACTAATTGTAGCTGAGGATGCGTCGGGTACTGTGGTAGGTACCATCAAGTGATCCGCGCTTTTGAACTTATAGAGTAGCATGTGCAGTTGGTTAACCACTCTTTATTATGCAAAACGCGTTAGGTTGGATATTGCGGGATAACTCAGTTCAACCCCAAGAAGGGTTACGACAAGTATGCATACCATGTCTTGGATATTGGGTAGACTTTGGGGGACAAAATTAACTCGGATTTTGCGTTCATTACCAGGACCGTAGAAATAACACTCTACGTGCACCATGAGCATCTTCGCAAAGGCCTTGGAAAACGGCTAGCAAAAATCATTATCGCACGAGCAAAGGCACTGGGCTACAAAAACATTATTGGTACTTGCAATTGTAATGCTTATTGTCGCACAACAGCTGTTAATGTTCTTTCTTTCAGCCCTTGTTGCCCAGGAGAATGAAGCAAGTGTCGTCCTGTTTAAAAAGTTGTGGTTTCAACAATCTGGGTATTTTCCTGCACTGGGGTACAAGTTTGGACGGGATTTGGATGTTGTCTATATGCAGCTTCAACTCTTTTCGTAACCACAAAGTGTCAATTTGGTAGTGCCAGTATAGTTTGACAAATGGACTTCATAGTGCTATAGGCAGTTATCATGTACACCCTGGTCATAGTAGTAGCAGGAGGGCTATCAGAAAATTTTCGGAACAGTTATGCTCATAACCAATATGAACGATTTTAGTTATCTACGGTCAATAACCATCAAATATCAATAAAGTTGCCAACATTTTTAACCCAAACATCCCACTCCTTCTGATCTTTGGCCTCAACAATGTCATGTATCCTCAATGCCAATTCCTCATCAAACCCTCGTTCAGTTATATACTCTTGAAACAAATCTTGGAGGGTTTCTGGTAATTGCTGAAAGGATGGACCGCTATATAGGCCCCGTCGTTGCCAATCGCCCTGAGCGGACGAATCCATGCAAAGGTCCACGGAAGGGAAGACGGTAATATGATTGATAAAGATGTTGGGATATTTAGCCGATGCTTCAATTTCAAGTGCACCGGACTCTATACTGTCGGTCTACATTCGCCTGATCAATTGGAAATCGATCATGGTATACACAGGGTCAAGGGTTTATCACTTGCCTTTTTTTGAATGACAATGGATAAACCGACAGGAGGCCGCTCTCCAAATGCAGGCTGCAAACGACGTGGTCTCAGCACGCCTTGATGATATGGTCGACAAGCTCGATACCCCCTACCTCGTGTTCCATATCCGCAAAATCCTGGAATTCGCTCATGGCATCCACGTTGAATAGAGCCGATATGCTAAAATAAGACAAGATACCACGACAATCAATGAAACGAATACGCAGCATCATCATAAAAGAAACAATAACACACTGTTCATTCCCAAATGTCCGTGATAGGACCATTTCGGCGTCACCCAACGTCTCGTTGAGCTTCCATAGGACTCCCTTGCTTGTTTTGAACTCTGTTGGGAGATAATATGTGTGTTCCTGAGCAGTTTTCAGGAGACTCTGTGCAAGGAGTGGGCCAATGTTGTGGGAACGGGGTTGTGATGAGATGTGGCGGGTTTGGAGGATTCTGGTCGTATGGACGACAAGGCGGGAGGAAGATACACGCATGAACATGGTTTGTCGTGTTAGAAAGCGCAGAGAGGATCTACGCGTTTCCTTCACAAATGTTCCTTAAGCCATTTTGTCTGATGCGGAAACGAGGCCATTGTATCCCTGCACATGGGGAAACAAGAATACCACAACATGCTTCAAAAATGACTTTGACATAATAGCAAATGCAATAGGGACATTGCGCACCTACTACAAAACAGTGTGTGATAACATCACCTACAAGGAGGAAATAAAGAACCATACCTGTCATACTTGGAACTTGCATGTCTGTGTGTCCAATAATTGATAATAATTTAGTTGTTGCGTTACATCTCATCATCCATAGTACATCCAAGAGCCGCAGTCCGCAGAAGTTGGTGAAATCCTTTATTACTGCTCTAAGCATGCACACATTCGCGTTCAATCATGTTCGTCGCATTGGCAACGATATTCTTTAAGAAGGTCATTACCAAGACGATGCAGGAAATTGTAAAAGACAATAAAACAACTCGATACAGGGGTTCGCATTTCAGAAACTATCCAAGCAAACAAAAAACAATGGTGACAAGAAACGTCTCGAAAATCTCAGAATACGAAGCAGTTGGTATTGAGTGCTCTATATACATCGCAGTAATGCACACATGACAAAAAAAAGAATCTTGAAAACTATAGGTCGAGGAAAGGGTGACAATGTACGTAAAAATACACGTTCCTTCATTTCTTTTTCGCTTCCGTCAGCTCCATCTGATCTTCAGGAACCTATATACCAAAATCAGGCATCATGGACTGATAAGCGATGAACAAGGATGTATACCTCTTTCCAGGTTTTGAGAATCAATTCGTATATGGCGTCTTGCATATCTCCTTGCACAACAATTTCGTCTAGGCCTTGCGGGTTTTTGGTGACTGAGGATCCGCAGGCGAATTTCGTTGCAAAGAGTTTGGCGGCTTTCTTTAGGTCCACGCCTGTTTGTGGAGTTCAGTAGTGTGTAAAGGTAAGAAAAGAACTAGTGGAATTGCGTACCGAAATTTTCTAGGCCTGATACTTCTATGACGCATTTTCGCTTTGTGCGTTCCACCCGTCGGATAATGACTTTTTGTGCCGCCTTTTTCTTTCGTTCTCTTTCAGCTTTTGCTTCGGCTAAGATGACAAAAGTTTTAAAACATCGGGTAGTGTCATTTAGGGATATGGGTTTCGAACCTTTCTTTTGTTCTTTTGTGAGTTCCTTGTCAGGCACTTCATCATCTTGTAGCGTTACGTCGTCCATCTTCTTTTCGAGATCTATGACATATTGTTAGAGATACTGTGTACCCAGCTCTTCATTGCCACCAAGATCCAGGCGTCGTCCATGCTCCAATGCACCCCCAACCCGCTAAGCGTATTAAAAATTACTCCAACAACTCACCATCCTCTGGCCATATCCGAGCAAACTCGGTAGGATGCTCCTTCCGCAACCATTTCTTACATGTTGCTGTCGTCCCGCTAAACTCACAGTACTGACAATTATAAGCAATCCTGTCTTGGCAAGCTAAATAGGAAGAAGAGGTCACACCTCAACTGGCATGGAACACACTATGATTGAAACAGTGGAAAAAGTGAGCGACATGCTTCATTGCAAACAATTCAAACATCACGCTACCTCCACAATAAACTATATCCGTCCTGACCCGTGTCTTGGGCCAGTCCTCCACAGGTACAGCTACGTCTTCCGTATCGGACATGTCGCAAAAGAAGAAAACAAATCAAAAGACCGTCTATCAAAAAAACAAGGGATGACAACCAATCTCCAGATCCTGCATTTTTCAAAGCTCCTGGTTTACATTTGCCTTCACTCCAATGAAGATCACGTGAACATCATTCATGGTGGCCAGAGAGTGATCTGCATTTGAGCACAATTGCCAACAAAACATTTTAAGAGATGGATGACCGACCCTCCAAGAAACGCAAAAGCACCGTCAAGATCCCCAAACGCGCCAGCACTCCCGGTAACGAATCTCCCAGTAGTCCCAATCTCCCGTCCACGGTCCCCATACCAGATCCCACTGTCACAAAACCGGACGATGCGGAAGGCGATATAGCAGAAGAGCCTAAAGATGATGACGTGGAATTGGACGATGATATTGAGGATGAGTTGCTGCATCCACGGAAAGGGGTAGATAAGGAGGCAGAACGGTGAGGACTGTTGTTGAAGGAGTTTTGAATGATTGTTGTTGTGCGTTTTAGCTGACGTTGTAAAAGAGCTTTATTGGCGACATTTACACAGGAACAAGTTCAGAGATATGAAGTCTTTCGACGAGCGCATTTCCAGAAAGGGGGTATGAAAAAGGTAAAATGTCGATAACCGTTTTATAGAGGATCTGATAAGTTGGATAGTGTGTTTATGCAGTCTTGTTTTAGTTTTTGCAAGGAGTTTTGGGACAGAATGTATCTGAAAGCTCTGCGATTGTCGTGGCGGGCGCCGCAAAACTATTTGTAGGAGAAATGACAGAAAAAGGTGAAATCGTCAAAAGTCAACGAGTTTTTTTATTTTGAATCAAGGCTGATAGTCCACATTATAGCACGTGAAGTCATGGAGGAATGGGGGGATACCGGTGGCATTCAACCTGAACACTTGCGAGAAGCTTATCGACGGTACAAGCATGACCCTGCATCATTTACGCCAGCTGGGTCCAAAAAGCGACTTTTCCGATAATGGCTCAAGGACTGTACATAATTTGGAAAAGCTATTCTCGTAATTTGTAGATATACGCTAGAAACAGCATGCTTGTACATATATGTTCATCTCGCAACAAAATACATAATGCTAAGTACCGCAAAACAGGACTAGCTCCCATCTACGTAATGTAAATTTCTTACCCAATATCTATGACAAAAAGTCTTTCAAATCAAATACGTCACTGCCAGGTTTCTTGACACATACACCCTTTTCGGTAACAATCGCCGATATCAAGCTAGCAGGTGTAACCTATAATGAACACTATCAATAATCACATCATACCAAAAGCAACGCATAGAAAAAAAAAAAAAAAAGAGGCTTACATCAAACGCCGGATTCCACACTCCAATACCCGGTGCAGCAATCTGGACAGTGGTAGACGCATTCTCTTGCACAGACGGACCACGAATTTGGACCACTTCAACAGCAGCGCGTTCCTCAATAGGAATATCCTTGCCAGATGCAGTCAAAAGATCAATGGATGTGGAAGGAGCAGCGACAATAAAGAGAACGTTATGGTATTGAGCTGTAATGGCGAGTTGGTATGTCCCGATTTTGTTGGCCGTGTCACCGTTTGCTGCAACACTTTTTAATCAAATATGAGAGGGGTTGCGTCTCATGTTTTGTTCAAGAAGACAAACTGTACCGATCTGCACCAACAATGATGGCTGTGATGGGTTTTCGTGCCAAGAGGGCCGATGCCATGTCATCGCAGATGAGGGTAGCTGGTATGTTTTCGTAGACAAGTTCATACGCCGTGAGACGAGAGCCTTGGTTATACGGTCTGGTTTCGGTGCAATAAGCATGAGCAAGATTTCCGCTGGCGTGCAAGTCACGGATGATGCCTAGTGCGGTGCCCTATTATGTAATCACAAATGTAAGTCCAAAATGTTGAGTATGGTGACAATGAGAATACTGCCAAAGACGCACCCATCCTGCTGTCGCCAGACTCCCCGTATTGCAGTGCGTCAAGACTTGAACCTCTGCTTGCGTCTGCGGTTTATGTTTCAACACGTACTCAGTCCCAAATCGCCCAATATTATGATTATCCTCAATATCCTTTTGCAACATGGCTTCCGCAGCATCAATGTAGGCGCTCGCGACACTCTGAGCGGTAGCATTTGCTACAGTAGCAGCACGGGCGACTAAACCGTCCAGTCGTCCAGCGGCTTCAAAGAGGTTTACGGCAGTCGGTCGAGAGGTCTTGAGATACTCTAGTTTGGAGTGGACGAATTCTTGGATGGAGGGTGCTGTGGATAGTTTGCCTACAAGTGCCGTGCTGTGGAGTTCCACTGCAAGTGAGAGTGCGGCCACAATGGCAATGGCAGGTGCTAGCGCAATTCCATTAATGTCAATTATGAAAACTTGAGGAAAACTTGAATGCAAGCAGTTTACCTCCACGGACTTTCATGGTCTTGATCACTCTATGCCCATCTTCTACACCTTTGACCTGCTCAAACACTGTAGCAAAAGGAAGGAGCAATTGGTCCAAGATCTCTAGAGAGCCTATAGAAATTGTACGAGTAAGCAACATGGTCCTAAAAACCCATTGTCCTTTGAGACGTACCCTTTTTGTATCGAATGGCTTCTAGCGTTGGGGCCGTTTGCATGACCATGATGGGGATAAAGCGACAAGGAAAATACAAGGTTGAATTCTTGAGCCCCGGAAGCATGCCCCAAAGTTCGATTGCGCAATCCTTAGAACACGTGACTCTCCAACAAGCATGTGCCTATCGCAAGTTGCAAATCACAAACTCAAGTTCAAAAATATGCCGACCCCAGATCCACCGTCCAACACAAGCAAAGGAAAAGCTAAAGCAGCACCCTCCTCAACATCATCGCAACCTGTTCCCCATGTTCCCGCCATAACACCCACAGACCTCTCCTCCCTCCTCCCCTCCAAAACACAAGGCCCATCGACAACCACCGGCGGATCGATACAACTGGACACAGCCGTCTTCTCGACACCCATTCATGAAGACTATCTGGGAGGGAGACGTGCATATCATGTCCCGACCGGAGAGGTTCTAACCGAGGAGGATTTGTTTGCGTCTGGGATTGGGAATTTTGAGCGTGAAGATAATGGGGTGTTGTTACCTGATTTACCGTCCATTTCCCAAATCACCACCGATCCGGGAGCGGATTATAGCGTGGATGCAACAGACGGGGCAGACGTACTAGACTTTCTACGATCGTCAGAGTACACTACGACCATTTACGGCTCACCCCCCGCGGCTCGTCCCATGATGGGACCCACCACGTTGCAATCAACATCGCTTCGAGCGACACTCCAAGATGGGGAGGAAGCCATTGCGTACCTCCGTGATATGCGCTATGCAAGAGATGTGTATGGGTTAGAGGATGCGGTAGAAGAGTTTCATTTGGCTGTGCAGGCTTATCAAGAGGCGGTGGAAACGGGCGGGACGCAACAGAGTGAGACGGAAAAGAGAGTCAAGGCGGCTGTGGAGAGATTAGGCATGTTGAGACAGCATTTTGGAAATGGACGGGGGACGTCTTCATGATAAAGCATATTATGCATTTTTATTTATGTAAATAATCACCATTGCAATATGCTCTTGTTCAACTCACACTCGATCCAATATAAACGTGACTGTGCCGCAGGGACCCACCATCCAGCATCCGCCAACGCACCGCCCGCACCCTTCAACATCTGGGAACGCTCGTTCTTGCGCAGATCCCCACATTTCAACTCTTACACACACACACAACAAACCAATATGGTATGTTATTCACACTTCTTATCGTTCACTACAGGGCTAATGCTTATGATAGGCCACCTTTCCTGCCATCCGTCAACGAAAGCAAG